ACAAATACTAGTCCGGGACGCCACATCCATTGGCCAGACACTTGCTACGCCTCAGATTCTCTCTTACATCACGTCCCTATATGAAAGTGGCTCCATCAACCTTGCACTTGAACAGTGGGAGGCATATCAAGCAGAGCTATCCCAAAAGAAGGAGGACTTGGAAGAGTACTGGGAGCTCGGAGTGCGATTATTTGCTGCGGACAACAACCCACAACGAGCTCAAGATATTGCTCTGGCTTTCCTGGCAAATGACCGAACTCGTCAGCCACGTGTACTCATTTCTGTCATCAAAGCATGGGGAAGGCTGCCCGGAAAAGAAGCCGAAGTAAAAGCTTGGGCCCTTTATCTGCAGCTGAAGACATTCCTGGGCTCTGATATGACCATGGAAGATTATGATCAGATCAGCATTGCCCTTCTCACGGCTGGTCGATTGGATACCGCAGTCGCAATCTTCAAGGATATGATGGTGACTGGAAAAGACCCGGCCAATGACTCGACCGCCTTGTACAAAGCCGCGCTGGGTCTGGCTGGTAACCTTCATGCATCCAGCATCAACGAAAACGAAGTGAACAAGGTCTCCTTGTCCGCGCTCAAGGTGTTGCCTCGCCAGTTCCAGAATCGGTTCTTCTACGCAAGTTGGATGAAAAAGCTGATCGGTATGGGCGAGGTCGACTCTGCCGCTCTAGTCATTGAACTTATGTATGAGCGGTGTGTCAAGCCTGATAGCAAGCACTTGAATGGAATCATTGCGGGCTGGCTCCGTGATGGGAATACAAGTGCACGCGATAAGGCAGAGCGACTTGGGTGGGCCATGATCCAGAAGCGCATCGATGTTGTATGGAGACGATACCAACCAGCTGAGAGTTCTCCTCAAATTCAAGTCAAGTATGGGGAGACGGAATCTGTACGCATGCCTCGGTTTATGCAGAGAGAGGTCCCGCCTGCAAGCATCGAGACCTTCTCTATCCTTCTTCTTCATTACACACGCCGAGGCGACGACGACATGGTCAAATACTTGGTCAAATGCCTTGGGGATGCACATATCAAGCCGAACTCTTACTTCATGAATCACCTTCTATACGCAGAGTTGCGAAAGCAAGACGTAAAAGCTCTCTGGACCAAGTTTCAGACAATGTCTACCGCCATCCGCCCCGACGTGGAAACATATGCCTGCCTCTGGGACTGTGCCAAGCTCCAATATGACCGTGGGCGCACTGCCTTCGATGCGGGCTTTCCATCAGCACGTCAGCTCTATGCCAACATGATATCCTGGTACTCCCAGTTATCTCCTCGCACCCAGAAAGCCACCCAATCACAGATTCCTAGGGCTCTATTCGATCAGATTGTGCGATGTTTCTGTCTCTCCAAAGACATCCCCGGTACATTGGTCGTGATACACTCGATGCATTCAGCCTTCGGCTTCACACCTGATGATACCACCGCCCGCATGATAGTGCTTCAGGTTGCGCGACTAGCTGGTGTACCGGCCAATACACCGAAACGGCGCCTCCGCCGCCTGTCTTCGACACCACGAAGCAAAGAGAATATTGGCCAAGTCACCCGTTTGTTAGAACTCTTGGGTGATCGCAAAGCTGAAAACCTGCGATTGCAAGGATTGAGTCTTGAACAGCTGGATCCACGTGAGATGGAACAGTACCAACTGGAGATCATGGCCAGCCTACTGCGAATCGTGATGAGCCGAGCAGATGGCCTAGATCCAGTTCAAGTCGAAAATAAACTCGAGGTGACAGCGAAGGAGATGCTGGCCGAACATATCGACTTGGGGGCTCCCATGGGAGTAGACGATAGCAAGCTCCTGTAATTGACCATATCAGTCATTGATCATCCCAGTCATTGTTGACCTCTCCGGTTTTACTCCCAAAATAGGGTTATGTATATTATTATTTTGTATTTATACACATTTCTACTTTCACTGATGTAGGTCTAACATATCTCCCCTGAACTTCTCTAAACTTATGAGGGCACACATAGGCCTGTGTAAATTCGTTTGAGGCGGCCTTTTTCCCTTCACTTTTTCTCTCTCTACGGCCAGACGATGGGTGATATCCAATCTCCCCTACCATGATATCTGGTTCAATTGGACCACCTCCAGAAATATCAGCAGCTCAATGTCACTGCATGATGCCGGGATATGATATAGCGTTGCGATACACTTTCAAAGAATTATCCAGGTATACAGTCCAGGCTAAGAAATGGTGACCTCTTCGGCCCACTCCGATGTCTACATCCCTTTCCTGCACCAAGCCTGATCCAGGATCGAAGTTCATCTGAAAACCCCTTCCCCCAAACCGATATCGACACAGTGCTGTCTATGTTGACATGTATTTTCCAAGGCACCAACCCTTTGGATTCTTGGTTTAACTTGATAATTAGGGATCCCGGGCCCTAGAGGGTGATTATCTTTAGCAGAGAATGGGGGAACTCATATCCTAGGCCTTGCCCTTCTATTAGTAAAATCCCAATATCTTTCATTTCTTATTGGGGTTCAGTCTTTCGCCAAAGAGGCTTGTATATCATACTATGTGGTGTTGACCACCCAGCGTATTGGATAAGGTGGTAGAGTCCAACATCCCCGATATCATCCGTTGTACAGTTTGTGGCTAATTCTTCCCCTTACAAATTTGTAGGATATTCAAAGATACTAAAGAAAACACCCTAATTGAAAAGATTCCGAAGATCATTTGAATTCATCCCACCGTCCTCTACCAGCCATGCCATGTCTATGAGTACGATCCCAGGTCAAGGCTTCACTATAAGCCCCGGAGGCAGTCCACCCTGCCGTCGATGTCTACCTCACTCGATATATCTAATTTCTAGGTCTGCACTGGTCACATGACTCTGATAGAACCGTGGCGGTGGATTCAGGAGCCATTTGGTATCGTGTCCCCATTACATTTGGGGAATTGAAGGTCTTGAATACGATCAGAGCTGTCTAAATCGGCTAAAAGACTTCCATTGCCTAGATTGATGGTCATGCGAAAAAAAATCTGACTAGTTTCATACTACAATGTTTGCTGCCCATGCTGATATTGCGAGCCACCTCAGACACCATCTTTGCCAGAACGACCAAAAAGTCCGAGAGACCTGTATTGCCATAAGAGCATTGGTGCAATGTAAGTATAATCCATCAATTCTCTGGCTTGAGCCTAACTGGTTTTTATCCTTTGAGCTATAGCACTAAGAACGGGGACATCGCAGTTCCATGCCAAAAATAGAGCGGTTGACAAAAAACCAGGAAGATAGGAGATTAAAGTAAGAAATGTATGAAATAAATGATAAACAACCAACGGAGACATCATTGGATCGAAACTGGAATACTTTGATAGGTATTTTGAGCAAGCTCGCCCATAACTGGTATAATAACATAATTCCTCATGCAAAATCCGTAGCCCAAAATCCCCCATGAAGGAGTGTGCGATTCGAGCCCCAGATAAAAGTACAAATAACACCGGAAGAAACACTTCATATCTATTTCTTGCCCTTACTCTTCTTCTTCTTTGCGCTTGGCGGAGAAGCAGGTGTAGTCGAGGATTCCGCCTCCACAAGGACGGCATCGTCATCGCTGCCTTGGACAGAAACAGGGGCGGCAGGGGTTGTGGATGCCGCCTCAAGGGACTTGGTTGCGCTGGTAGACTTAGATGCGTCGGTAGAAGCCGTCGAGCCCTCATTCAACTCCTTCATGAATCCCTCCTGAATACTGGTCTTCTTCTTGCTCCACCACTGGCGCTCCTCTTCCAATTTCTTTTGCTGATCGTCCATGCGCCTGCGGTAGATATCATTATTCATCATTTCGTTGGCGGACTGGAAGATAGTTTGGCCCCAGCCGGGGGCATATGCGTTTGCCTAGTTAGATATTGGTTAGCAAACCAAGTATATGTAATCATTTAGTCGCCAAGCACGATAGGTTTGTTGGCAATAGAACACGCAGCTCATCATACCTCTGTAACCACATCCTTGACCTCATCCTCCATCTCCTTCTCCGCGCGCTGGAATCGCTGCCAGAGATCATCACCGACACTACCGCGTTGGACGAGCGTTGTGAGGGCTTGCTTCTGACTGCGCAGTGCCATAATGCGACGGATATCCTCAGCTGCGCGACGGAGAAGAGAAGCCTTGAGGATAGAGTCGGGAATGGCGGAGGCCTCCTTCTCATTTGTGGAGGTTGTTGAGGGTTCAAGGTGGAGGAGAGAGAAGTAGATATCGCGCTGGAGATGGGCAGGGAACCATGGCTCTAGAGATGCTGCCTTGTCTAGAATGATCCATATATTATATATTAGCCTAGGATAACTGGACACGCCGGCGCGCGAAATGGTTTGAATGTAGAGAGATTGAAGGTTTCTAGGGATATTTCACATACGGGACTTGCGCTTGCGGTAAAGAGAGGAGAATGTGGCAAGCGATCCCAATAGAATGCCTAGGTAGGCGATTGGGACGGCGAGACTAAGCCAGTCCACGTCGAACATTGCGATGTGGCTTTTGGGGCAGGGGTATGTCGAGGGATTGAAGTTCCGGGGAGATGAGATAGATATATTCAAGCTGTCATTACCAGTTTGAAGGTGGAAATCAAGAAAAGAAAGGACATGAAGTGGGTGAAGGTGAAGCTCGAAAGGCCAGGGTGTTTAGTGGGTCATGTCACATGTTCACCAAGTATGAAAAGTGTAGATTTTATAAACAAACAGATTACAATTATGAGAAAGAACATTGATTGACCATTATTTCCTCATAGTCTACATACATTTCCCATGTCAAATGAACCCGCTGAAAGTATTTTTTGCATAAAAAATTAAGAAAAGGTGAGTGATTGACACAATTGCTCCCTATCCATCCATCTCGCCGCAAAGAAGAGAAAAACAAGAAAAAAAAAAAAAAAACCATCGCCAGATCAAAGGGGAATATGAACCGAGTCAACATATTGACAAAGTAGGAAAAGGAACAAAAAAAGAAAAGGGTAAAACGATGGAATACCCATCAAACATCTCTCACTGGAAACTCAGGTTGGCCAAAATATCCTTGGTTTGTTGGCTGATGGGACCGATCTCCTGCATCTCCTGCATATCTTCGAGGACTGCATTGTATGTTTTGCCGAGACCATCGGCAACGTGAGTACGATTCCATTCTCCACGCTTGTGCCACACGAAGTCCATCAGGTTAGTGTTGATTTGCTCCAGCTGCTCCACTGAGAAGCCGCTAGTTGACAGGGTTAGCTGCGTGTGCAGGCGCTCAACAACCTCAAGATCGAGGACGAAGGGCTCATGAAGTTCCTCGTTCAGGTTCGATTCCAAGCTAGCAGAAGCATTATTTCCTGGCATGTTGGGTGCATCGAACAGCGGAGGTTGTGGCTTCGACTGCGACTGGCTTCCATTCAATCCACTGTTCTCCTGAGTATCTGCATTGCTGAGCATTGAGTCCCGCGGATGTGGGGACGGCTGGCTACTGTCGTTTTGTTGGGTGTCGGGCAGGTGGTCTTCCTGCGACACACGATCGGGGTATGGAGTAAGGTCGGGGTATTCGGTTCTTGAGACATGAGGGCTGTGAGTGTGGTAGGTTTGATTGGACAGGTGTTCGGAGGATTTTTTATCAGAAGTCGTCTGAGTCGTGGATGCTTCATTGGTATAATCAGCTGGCTGAGATCCGGGGGCCATTGGAGTCATGGGGCCTCGCTGAGAGAAGCTAGAAAGCCCGGATTCTCGACGAATTTGCTGAGAAGGGGCAGTGTGCGAATAAAGAGGCTTTGGCTGTGCAGACGGCCCGAATGAGCTTCCCTGAGTGTCCTTGCTACCTGAGTGATCATCGGAATTGGACATAAAAATGTCACCGTCCCCATCTCCATGGGTACCATTGCTCACGCCGACGGCATGGGAACCAGACTCGTTGAGATCCGAACCATCCCCTTGATGATCTCCATTGGCGAAACTCTTAACCTGGGATGCGGGAGTGACGGGACGCGAAGCAGCTTTTCTATCATCGCCATTATCAGGGAACGTCTCGCCCAGTTTAACCGGGCCAGTCAATAGACTGGATTCCGTGTTACCGTGCGACACATGGGTAGCCTCCTCAATAGGAGTAATTGTGTTCTCCACCTGGGCACGCTTCTGACGCTCGGCCACCTCCTTTTCGCGAGCCATCTCACGCAGATAGACCTGCTCACATTCTGCCATGAGAGCTGGTTCGGCCACCATAACACCCGCAATATCAACTTCGACATTAGTCAAAAGTTCACTCGACCGCAAGATGCGTTCTGGGTCACCAGTCTGACGAGCATCTTTAACCATTCGCTTGACATCCGCCACAAAATCGATGGCGCGTTTGTAGTATCCGTTTGCAAGGCGTTTCTCAATTGTTACAATCTCCAGGTTGTAGTAGAATTTCCCAGTGGCAGTTTCACGAAGACCCAAAACACCATGTTTGTCGTATGCTTTTTCATAAGGCCGGAAGGTATTTTGTTGATCCGGGGGAAGATCGCTGGTAACAATGTTGGGATCTTCTTCCTCCCACAAGTATCGAATTTGAGATTCATCGATCACGCCCGACCTGAAACGCTTGTATCTCTTGACCTGGTCCATGATGGGTTGAATCCGGGTTTTCAGAAGATTCAAGGATATGTAATCCTTTTTCCTCTGAGCCTTGATCTCCTCCTTGGTGAGTTCTGCCTCGGGCTTGGGAGGCGGAGGTGGCGCGACTTCTAACTGTTCCAGCTGACGAAGCTTGCGGTTTTCTGGGTTCGGGAATCCTTTCGGGGGAGTCTTGACGAATTCAATTATCTTTCCAAAGAATTCACGACGGGCATCATGATTTGGAGGGGATAGATAATACTGGTTCTTCTTGGAAAAACCGAACATGTTCCTGAGTAGACCATCATCCACGTCCTCTTCTTGTGATTCAAGGATACCAAGCAAAAGGACTGGATCAGAAGGTGGCACCGACCGCAAAAGACTCATGAAGGTAGAAATGACAGTAGGTCCGACAGTTTGGAACCACAATTGGATGTTGGGAATGTAAATCACACTCGGCTTATGCCGCTTGACCTCGGTGAATAGCTGGATGACAGCTGCCTCTGGGGAGCGGGGTTGAGTCACTCAGCAAAGTGGGCAGGTCGAAGGCCTGCACATGCAGGCCCTCAAACACATGCAGTAGTGCAGCCGCAAGGTATTGCTGGCCCATGCCGTGAGGACCCCGAAGGAGGAGTCGGGGTCGGAAGACACGCGACCGATCAAACTCCTGCAAAAGCAGCTCTCGGGTAAAGCCTGCACCATCGTTGGGCTCCTCATATTGAGCCTCCTCGAGAGCCGTAAGTTTCTTTCGTTGTGGTAGAATCTCGGACAGCAAAGATTTGATTTCAGATAAGGGATGACGAAGTAAGGGCTCAATGTTCAGAGGGAGGGCAGTCGCGCCCGATGAGGTAGACCGCTCTGAGGAGGGCACCATCTTCTTGATTGCCAGCATGAAATCTTTGGGGGTGACATCGATTGTCTTCGGATCAATCACAAGCTTTTGGTCTGATTTGTAGATTTGAGGGTATCTTCTTTGTACGGCATTGATTGCAGCCTCGGTGCAAAGCGCCCGTAAGTCAGCACCGCCATAACCCTTTGTCATATCCGCTAATTCATCTTTGATGTTGTCTGGAAGAGGAGGATCCCATTCTTTTGTGTGAATGTCAAGAATAGCACGACGTGCCTCAATATTAGGCAACGAGAAATAGAATTCACGATCAAAACGACCAGGGCGGCGAAGAGCCGGATCAACAGAGTCAGGACGATTGGTAGCACCGATGACAACCACTTGACCACGACCATCCATGCCGTCCATCAATGCAAGTAGTGTTGAGACAATCGAAGCATGAATCTGTTCTTGTTTACTTGATCTTACGGGGGCCAAACCTAGAATAGGATATTAGCGGCTGCCAGCAATGCGTTCAGAAGAGCCTGTCTTACCGTCAATTTCATCAAAAAAGATGATGCTAGGCTGGTTCTTGCGAGCTTCTTCGAAAAGAAGCCGAAGTTGTCGTTCAGCTTCACCGACCCATTTACTCAATGCATCCGCGCCCTTTCTCATGTAGAATGTGACTTTGCGCCCCTCTGAGCTGACGCTGTTGGCAAGAGCGCGAGCCATGAGCGTCTTTCCGGTACCAGGAGGACCATGGAATAAAACACCACGAGGAGGAGTAATTTTGAAACGCTGGAAGATTTCTGGGTACAAGAGAGGCAAAGAAACCATCTCTTTTAATTGGTCGATGTGCCCTTGCAAACCGCCAACATGATCAAAGTTGACATTCATGTCAACCCCCAGGGGATCCGCGTCAGCCAGAGCCTGTTTGTTATTGAACTTGCCGAGGTTTGCAGGCGTGCCAGATGAGTTCTGAGCAGGGTCAGCCGACTGGTTGTGAGTGGCTGCAACTCCAACACCAGGGGCGAGACCAGTGCGATTTGGCTGCTGGGCGCCTTCATCGTCACTGCTATCGCTCTCAGCTCCGCCGACCGCAGTAGGGCCACCAGGAACGCCGAGAATTGCTGAATTACCACCACCGCCAAATGGGCCTAATGTCGAGAACAAAGTTCGCTGCCAGCCTCCACCTCCACGACCACGGCGGGATGGAGAGCCAGTCACTTCGTTATCGGTGTCTTCATTGGGTTGAAGCATTTCAGGCCGAATGATGCGGTAATCAACATTCTTTCGGTTGCGACGCGGTTTCTCGTACACGACTGTTTGCTTCGTACGGCGACGGGCACGGCCAGTAAGATCTTCTAGTTCTTCGGCAAGTTCTTCTGCTTCCTCTGAGGGCGCCCTGGTTCGAGAAGGCCGTTGGCGTAGGCCAGGGCGCCGACTAGCAGAGCTATCCTCGGCTTCCTCGCGAGATTGAATATCTTTGCGGGGAAAGGCATGCGATTCGGAGTCAGAGTCGTCCTCCTCATCATTCGAGGGCTCCTCCTCTGGCTCAAAATCACTTTCTTCATTTTTGTTTTTGCGCTGTGAGCTTCGGGATGGCTGCTTACGACTGGATCGACGTAGCTGTGCTTCTTCGTTCGTCTCCGCGTCTTGCGTGGCAGTCTCCCCGGGGCTTTGATCATGTGAAAGCCTTCCTCGTCGCCGAGTTGTTGGGAGCTCTTCGGTGTGCTCGGAAGGATCATTCTTTGTATCACCATTTTCCGATTCAGGGACGACGTCTTCATCCGGCATTTCTTCGTCAATTGAATGGTGGACTCCATCGTTCATTAGCAATGCATCACCCTCAGCGCCGCCGTGAGGCATGTCACTTTCCACTACCTCGATTTGCGAGCCCTGAATGGTTGTTTCGTTGATGACCTCCTCGGCATCCTCGTGCTCTTCAGTGCCTTCAGCGTCTTCATCCTCTTCGTCAATGATTGTGCGCTTGGCCATGCGATCGACTCGGGCAATACGGCGAGACGGGGTTGGAAATTCGGCTTCTGGAGTGTGTGTACCTCGCTCAACGGTGTGTATATGACGACCAGAGTTGGTAAGGGCGTAGATATCCTCTGAAGCGTCACGGGTACGCCGGGTTACACGTTTAGAGAAAGCCAAGTAATTGGGTGGGAGCTTCAACTTGATGACAGTGCTCTTTTGTGGAGTAGAGTCTTGAGTCTCATCCTCACCATCATTGTCGATCAGCTCTTCGTCCGATTCTGGTTCCCCGTAGTGTGGGCGACGGCTTTGGGTGGTCCGTCGACGCGCCGTTCCTCTAACATTGCGTTCAACTTCCTCCTCCGATTCTTCTTCCACCTCATCGAAGTCGAAATCCTCAGAGAGATCTTCGTCGTCCGAGGTGAGACCGTCGTCTGAGCTGCGTCGTCTCTTTCTTGGGGCCGGCCGCGACTTTTTCTTGGGGCTGGCCTTCGACTTCCGACCGGTAGAACGCGAATAGCGAGCGTGGTCGCTGTAATCCTCGTCGTCGGAGTCGGACTTGTTGGCGGCCTCGTCCAGGGTGCGCTTTGCGCCACGAGCCATGGCGCAGTTTTTGTGATTAAGGGATCACTTTCGAGATCACGATAGTCAGCATAAACCGCTCCAATTTGGGGAGCACAACAAGGACACAGTGAGAGGGGTCGAAGGCCAAGATAACAAGCAAGATACAAAAAAGTAAAAAGGCGGGTCGTCGGGCTTGCGCGATGCGGGAAGGAGGGACAACACTCACGAATGGTTCAGTTGTCGCCAGCAACAGCTGGACCACTCGATCAAATAGAAAGAAACTTCCTGTCGCAGCAGCAGCCTTGACACTCTCTTCCCGACAATTGCTGATCAATATGTTAGCGGAGACGACACGGTGGTGGAGCGCAATTGGGGCAGAGGTGGAAGGGTCTCACGGACTCGGGAACGCGTGGGAAAACAAAAGTGTTGGAAGACTATCAGCCACCAGAATAGATGCGCAGTTCACAGAAAGAATTGCTGAAAGTAAAAGAAAGTAGAAGACGATGGGAACTCGAGGAACAAAGACTTCAGGGAAGAAGGGCGGAAAGGACTCGCGCTCATTGGGGCTGACTGCCTGAATGAATCAGCCACTTATTGTGGCGCACCACATTAGTCAACAAAGCGCACGTGCCCATCTCTCAATGGGGGAATTGCTTCAATAGCCATTGTCACCCTTCAGTCCGTGAATCAAGTCCCCCATGAATCGAGCTATTGTAGTGCTCCATTCTACTCCTGAATTAGCGGAATGGATTCTTTTGATGATTTTGATAGCCCAAAACTGCAATATTCACGATTGGTGAAGATGGGGGGGAATGGCACGATACAATGATGACAGGAGGTGTCAGAGGGCAATTTGGGACATGAAGAAGACGAGAATAGGGCCCTTTGTTTTTTCCTTTCCGTTGCCCTTTTTTCTGCGACGCTCTCGACTGGACCTGATATCATGTGCCGCTGACTCAGCAGTGGCTCGTGCTGCCCTAGAGATCTACACTCCCATGCAAGCCCATTAAGCATGCAGATATAGATATTGCCACCTTTCTAGTCCAACTTGCCTTATTCTATGACATTTCCTTTGATGTACTTGTATCCGGGTTGCACCAGAGAGTCGATGAGAGCCATAGTGCCAAAAACATCATCTCGCGAGTAGCCATCTACTTCTGTCCGATCATCTCCCTACACTTGGATCGCTTGAGATGATCCTTTAATGATCCATAGGCAAGTTTTATAAAGCCATTGGGAATTTGGTATTGCTACTTGTAGATCACCTGCTCCTAATACCAGTGTTTTCCCCGGATTTCCTCTTGATTCTAATCCCATTCCCGGAGCTGTGCTTCGCCGTCGTCGATGTTTTTCATTTTTCCGAGCGCCCAGGTCTTTCCCTTCAGTGATCCCTCCTGCTGAACAGGTTCAGAGGCACAGTAATGACCGATGATAAACTGTACAAAGAGATCGAGCTGCCGACAAGCTTTTTGATGCCTCTTCTGTGCACAAATTTGGGTTGACACCTACACCCCCCCATTGTCGTGGATCCGGATGATTTTGATCCGCAAATTGTCTGGCTCACGGACCCTGCGGGTGGACATGTTTTCGGAGACGCATCAGTCGCACAGCAAATTGATTTCGAAGCTTGGAACTATACGTTATGTACTCCGTAGACATCACATCATTCGGTCGTGAAGCACCAACACCCAAAAAGATCACCTTTGTGTGTTATATCAACTACCTCCAATGAGCCAAAATTCGATAGAAAAAAAAAAAGCCTCGCGGCTACTCGGTCATATATAAGCACCAGACCACCAGACCAGAGCCTACCTCTCAATGTTGTGGGAGTCCTTTGGGATCTCACCAACATACAATTCTTTCAAGCCCATCTCTAGTAGCCCTGTGACATTTGAAAACGATGTACGGAGTACTTGGCTTTATCTCGACTAATCTTAGAAATATAATTCTAAGGAAAGGCGAGGAAATTGACACCTGAGGGATCAACGCCAAGACCGCCATACCCGAAATGCAACGCGAACTTCAACATCACCCTAGCTCGTCTTCTTGGATATCAACAAGAAAGAAGGCACCAACTGCCACAAATCACAATATGCTCTCACACTCAGCTCGTCGGCTTATACCGGCTATGATGCCTTTTCACTTGGCTCGAGCTCCCATGAGCCGACGGACCTTCACCTCCACACAAGCCATATTTAACTCATCCAAGGAGCCTAGTGCATATAAGGAAGGGGTATGTATAGGGATTATTTTTCAAAGTAACAAATTACAACATCTTAACTTTTTACCAGATGAACCAATATCGAACCTTTATGGGCCCCTTCGCCAAGGTCTTCTTGGGAGGGGTGTTCGTCTACCAAGTCCTCTATTGGACCTGGTTGAAGTTGGAGATGGATGAGATCAAGGTGGCAAAGAATGGTGAGATCAATCACAATTGATGCATTACCCCATCACGCATGTTGCTCACCCTTCCCGCAGAGAAAGTGGCCGTGCTAGAGAAAGAGGTCCGGGAGTTGACTAGCACCCAGAAATGAAACCGATCTTGAGAAAATCTTGAGATAGACTGTACCATATCATATTTATCAATGCTCAACACCATATTATATTGTGGGTTTGAATAATGCCATGACACTTCCAGAATTGGAGATACATTGTCTTGGTGATCCCCAATAAACCAAACATTGCAGAATATCCTTATTATATTACGGCACCAGGGTGTGAGTCGTCAAAAACCTGGCAATCTATACCGCAGCATACTTGCGCTTCCGCTCGCTAGTCGCCGCAGTCTTCCGACTGCGGTCAAAAGTCTGTACCGCAACATCTTTGGTCTGATTCATCTCATCTCCATCGAGCGACGAAGACGGGAATCGCCAGTCCTGACCTCTCTCTCCTTTCTTGAAATGCTCAATGTCAATATGATTAAATCTCTCATCTGAGGCCTCAGGGCCATGGTTCCTCAGCGGGACTCTGCAGTTACAGAACCCACACCAGAAATGCGACTGGCCCGCCAGATCGAGCCGATTATTGCCAGTCGAAGCTGCCACTTGATATTCATGGACTCCGTGCTGGTGCAGATGATGGGTATATGTCTCAGGCCGATAGAACAATCGTTCGCACGAGGCGCCTGTTTGCACGTCGTGTTCTGTGCAGAACCAACTTGGCACACTGAGATGTTGGGAGCTCTCGTGGCGCTTCCAATCGGCTTTGCTGCCAAATGACTTGGCGCAGTGAGGAAAAGTACAGCCGTACGGTCGTTCGTGGCGCTTTTGGTGTTTCCTAGCGACGTCCGTGGTTAATACCGATAAGAATATGAAAGAGCTTGAAGGTGGCCTACTTCATCTCACAGCGGAGTCGAGTCCGCTTTGGGCACGCATCACATTGAAACCAGTCACGTTTCTCGTTATCATGATCTTGTGCGATGGACTGGTTGTCGTCAGATAATCGTTCTAAGGCCACCGAGAGCACCTTTTGCAGCATCTGCCGCTGGGGCTGGGACAGCTGAGCAGCGTCGGCCCCAAGATCAATCCCCTCGTCGGTATTTTGACTTGATCTCCGCCCACGGTTGTTCATCATCTTTGTCATGGCATTAATTAAATTATCAGCTGCGTCTGTAACCGATCCATCGGGCCTTGTCATTCCGCGTTCAGCGGAAGGGCCTTGACTTGTTGATAGACCCAAAGAGGTGAAAGCAGGGAATTGGGAAGGCACAGAGTCCGCAAGAGACGGCGTACCATACTGAGGGGGTCTCGGTGTGGCATCACCAAATGTGAAAATGTCAGTTTTCTGCTGTGAGGTGGAACCGGATTCTAGCTCGATATCCGGGGTGGATTGGACGGACATCTCGTCATCATGCGACTCGAATACTGAACTATCTCTTGGGTTACGGCTGTCGCGGCTCTGTTCTGGTTGGCGAAGAATGACTTTTTCATACCAATCCATGGACCTGTTTCTAAGTTAATGACAGGAACATTTGGAGATCTCATGTTTGAACCCACTTTTTCAAGAGTGCTTCCCCATCCTCTTCCTGATGCATCCGGTTCAGATGTTGCTTGAAGTTATCTAGGCGCGGCCACTTCTTATTCGGGCGCGGGCAGTGTGCCCCGAAACACATGTACATCATCTTAGGCCCACGCTCGGGCTCTTTATTGTGTACACATTTCTTATGACGGGCAAGATCATTGATGGTGCCGAACCCGTCCTTCCGCGGGCAATTTGGCACGTCACATTTAAATAGCTTTTTGTGGCGAGCCTCGTGTTTCCTGTGGAAGTCAGTTTCCTATCCTGACAATGCTCAAAATTGCAATCAAAAGGACATACCTCTTATCCGAAGGACATTTGCCAACCCACTTGCACGATGGATGTTCGCATCGCATTGAAGCATCGACCAACTGCGACGGCGAGCCCATGAACTCCGACGTATACGATTCCTCAGACACAGAGCCATATTTGAGACGGTCAAACGAAGGCTTCGACTCGGCAGACATGTTGTCTGTCATGTCCATCTGTGGGCTCGATGACTCCATGCCGTACGAAGAAGCAACAACCGACTGTGTTGTACAGCTAGTTCCACCATAGCCGGAATCAGCAGAATGATGGCTATCTATATACTGGCTTCCACTCTCAGAAGGCTCGCTATAATGTTGCGAGAAGCAACAGTCCTGATCGGGCACCTGAGCAGGCATGTTCATATGCGAGATGGATGAGGTGGCCGGGACACCGGTGGCCAGCAGCGGGTTCCAGGCATCTTGGTCGCCTGTCAGACGGGGGTGAGTATATCGGGGGTAGTATAGGTCTCGGGAGTGCGAAGGCCATTGGCTGAGGAGTGAGTGGTGAAGTGTTGGATCGAGTGATCCAAGTTGGAGGTCTAGTAGTGGGTTTGCAGCGTCAAAAGGGAGATTGGAGGATTTAGGATCAAACAAATCGTGTCCTTCATTTCCAGCCATGATGCCTTGAAGAATATCTGTGGAGTCATTCCAACCCAGCTGTGTTTCCTTTTTGAGGCGGAGTTAGATTATTGGTGAGAGCCGCGGGGGTCATCGAGTCAGCAGGGCACCAACCTCCATAGCTATATAGTGTAATATCAAGCAAGTGAATATTTCTTTTTGTGTTCAGTCGAGAGATAATAAAGACTAGTCAAAATGGGAGGGGCACAGTATTAAAAGGCTCAACGATGCATGCAAATGCCAAACCCTACACGCGAGAGAGACACGCAATCTCCACACCCTCGCCCCGAGCCGGTTGACTTCACCACGCGATAGGCGATTCAAGGGTTGGAATGTGTTAACCGAAACTGCATGAGAAATATGCCCAAAAAGAACATAATCAAAAGAAAAAGGGAAAACGAAAAAAAAAGCAATACAGAAATCCAAAGAGGTAAAAGCTAAGACAAAGTTCATCCTCGCGTGTTGCCAGCATGGAATGCAACATGTCATCCCTTGATTGCACAGCCCACACCCGATACCTTCACCCGGGTAAATACTCTCTCAACGGGGGCTCCGTGGTGAGAATTTGGTATCTTCCATAGCAAACATGAGGCTGATAGTGAACATCCAATAACGGCCCAAGATTATATTAAATTCGATCCCAAGCTCCGGTTCACGATCGGCCGCGGATACCCCGTCATCTCCCGGAGTTCCGGGGTTGGTTCAGCCCGCTTCGAATATCATCTTCGATAGATAGTATACACGTATCACACACCCACGCACACCAGATAATGTCGTTAGTTCCCCTGCACGAGGCATGCAAGACAACTTCAGCCCCCAGGGAGATCGTACAATATGTCCTGGAAGGGGAAGATTGGCTGCAAGAAAGTAAGGACTAGATTACTGTGACAGGACAGACGATCGGCATAGTTGATCGGCGACGGCACAGGCTTGCCATGTTCGTGGGCGCAAGGGATGAATCATGGTTGCGCCTTATACGCGATATGAGGATATTATGCAGTTTCGAATTTAGGAGTCAAGGGGGTTATAACTTTGAAACCGAAGTCAGGAATTTAATTTCTACATAGAGAGGACTCTCCGTTCAGTTGTGTCTCTAACCTCCCAGGGTGAGTGGAATTTATGTTATGGACCATGGAACCATGTGTAGGTGGGCACACCCTAGTACCGAAGAGGAAAAAGTCAAAACATAAATCGGATCTCTCATATGCCATGCACATCGCCGTTTAGTCAAAAGCCCTGAAACAAAATTCCTGCGCGGAAATATGTACAGAGATATTGCACAATTAGAGATAGGCTAAATCATCACACCCATCATTCCCCGAAATGCATAAGATTTAAAATTGTTTGCATAGGTCGATGTTGGGGAAGGGAATGGAACAGATGGGAATTCCTCCTAGTAATATCATACACCATCGAATACAATGCAGCTGATGTGGAAGAGGGGACAACAGAACCGAGGAGGATCAGACAGAAAAAAAAAGGGTAGAGAGAAGGGGGTCAAAAGGCGATTGCAAGGGAGCATCGTATCAATAATCACATTTGGGAGGAACATCCAGAAGAGTAAGTCGCAGAAGTGTAGGGGATATTGGATTGCATGGGTTGGTAAGCTGGGTAATTCCCATCTACAGGGTACAGAGAGGGATGTGGGAGACACTGCGTGAGAGGATAAGAGTTCTGCAGCATGGGATCTGCCTCGGAGGATCTCGATCTCGGGACGGCATTATATGGTGGTGGGTACGTCACCGAGTTCTGATGCAGGGGATAGGCCTGGGTCTGAGCTGGGTGGAGTGTCGTTTGACCAAATTGGCCCGCCGCGTGCGTGTACGCCGGGAAGGGATCAGGGGTAAGAGATTCCGTGATGGATTCGGGCTCTTGTGAAAATTCACCGTCAGAGATGGTGGAGTAATTTGTGAGCGGAACGTTGTTGATGGAGAGCGCAGGGTTGGCGGGCGTGCTAGTGTTTCGGATCGCATATTGCGGTTGTAGATGGGTGGAGGCTGTTTCGGGTACTTCGCGTCCATGGTGATATAACGCGAGAGAGGGATACGTTGCCGATGATCCGCGAGTTGGCTCCACTAGGCTGGGGTTGGAAACATGGGCTGTGGCGCCGCTCGGCTTCGCTAATCGTAAAACAGGCAGGGCTAGTTGCTCCAGATGTTTGCCAAGGTGGACTGACAACTTTCTCCACTCGTTACAGACATTCCCGCAGAAGCGGCATGGCTCCTCCTGGGGCGATTGGGTGGTGTCATGCCGACATTCCTCGACCATTTGCCATAATCGCTCAAGCTCCTGCGCTCTTCGGCTATTCGACACTGTCTCAGCCTCCACAGCGCCCGAGGCCTTGCCCGTCTTTTTGATCTTAGGCTCCGGCATTTTGTGCTCTCGAACCAAATGCTGAACGAAATTGTCCTTTCGGTAGCATTTGTGGGTGCACTCGGGGAATGCACAGGTCCACCACTCTAGGTGCCGGTGCTTCTCGTTCTCATGGCGAACCCAGTCTGCTTTACGCTTAAACGACTTAGGCTCGGTGCAGTGAGGGAATGTGCAAGTAAATGGCTGCACATCTTCCTGGACATGTTTGGACCAGTCGGAAGGTTTTTGGAAGGTTTTTACTTCGAAACAAATGGGGCACTCAAACCGGGCAGGAAGACGATTGACTGGCGGAAGCGGCACACCAGGAGGGAACTGGGCGGCGGGACCCGTATCTTCGCCTGGTGAATACTGTTGCTCGTTTCCGTGACTGAAGCTTGTCACTTGGAACTGGATCTGTCCGGCCTCGAGATCGTTGGGGCCCTTGTGGTCCTGCAACAGAGTGGGTTTCCCACCCTGGACAGTACAATAGTCGCCAGATTTACATGTGTGGTTGCCAGTTGCAACCGAATGCTTTTGCTGCAAACCAACCAAGATCTTGTATCGACGGTCCTGCTCATGTGCCAGGCGATGAATCAGAGCTGGCTCCAGCCTTGGATTCAATTGCATGATCTGCGATCTAAACCCTTCGATTGTTGGCACGGGCAGACTCTGAATAGCAGGGAAGTCCATCACGATGCCTTTGTTATTAGCGGAGTCACCATCGTTCTCGTCTTCAGGGCCCCCGGTTTCAGGTCCCAGAGGTGTACTTCTGGGTGTTTGGTCGGTGTCCGAACTGACTCGAGGTGATGTGATGTTTGGAACTGGTGGACCACCATGAGCCGTCATGAGATTTATTAGTCCGGGGCTACTTGGTCGGGGGATCTCGCTTCTGCTTCGAACTCGGCCCTTGAATTGAATGTTCAAGGAACTTCTCTCCGGATTCGGCGAGGGTGCAGGTGATACTGCTCGGACCGGCTGACTACCCCCGACAGCAACCATTTGGTTAGTCATTGAAAGAATTGCGTTGCTCAAGCTTGGCGACCGTGAATGGCGACGGTGTAAGAACCCAGGTCGTGGTGAGTTACTCGGTTTTGCTGGTGAGTCCTCTGTATCACGTCGCGGAAGCCCTGGGTAGCTATAAGATTGACCGATGGAAAGGTCAGATGCTTGACGCTTCAGAATCGATGATGCATGCAGTAATCGATGCTTAAACAAACTAGTACGCTTCTTGGGTTGTTCGGAAAAGGAAAAATTCTCGAGAGATGTGGCAACATTGATAATGCTATTATTATCAATTGTTGCCGCGAGCGACGCCGTTTCGAGATCCCGTACACGTTTGTTAAAAGCTATCATGGCGTCGGTAGAGCTGTCCGGCTGCATCGCTTGTGATCTGGGGGTCGGATCGTGAGGGGGGTCATGCCAGGGGTAGAGACGGATACTTTCCTCGGCCTTGGTCGGCGAGAGAGATGAATATACCTCGGGGGTACTCCGATCATATCTGCCAGGCTCATCTACATTGGCTGAGGGCTCGTCGGAGTACGTGCCAATGCTTGCTTCATCTTCACTGAGTTCCTCGCTGCTCTCATGAACTAATACCCCAGGTCCAGGGAATGACCCGTCTCCGGTGCGAGATTTGATAGTAAAATAGTCTTCTTGCTCCAAAGGGTGATCCCCGGTACTCCTCGCTCGAAGTCTCCGGGAAACATGGTGTGGACGTGAACGCGGTGGACTAGGTGAGTCCCCGGCGTCACTGTTGGCTGCGCTCACAGAGACAGACCAGTGGGAAATGTCCTCATTCTTCTCGTCCCTTTCACGCTGAACATAGATGTCATTAGGACTTGGCACGAGTTCGTCCCCACGGGAGCTTGGGTCAATGCCACCTAGATGAGTCGATGAGTTTGGGATCCATCCGCCATTCTCGGATCGCTTCACGGGAGCTGATAATACCGAGTGATGATCGTCATCATCTCTGTCTTCCAACTCGTTTGGATTAGCAGATAGATGTGTGAAAGAGCTGAGACGCCTTTGCGATGACATGCTGCGTTCCTTGGGCGAATCGCCTCGAGAGAAGGTTGTAATCTTGAAGACGGGGCTTCTTCCTCTGGTTGCGTTCGGCGCCAGCTCAGTAGTCAACTCATCGTTGGGCAGGACGCCAAGCCTAGCTGGCTCGGTGCATGCATTAAGGACACCGAGACCAGACTGGTACGAGCTGGGGAGTGACGGCTGTATGCTAGAATTGCCAGGAATTTCTAGACCTGTCAGCGTGGATGGTGGATTCAACTTTGGATCGTGGTTCGAGCTCGTCCACTGAAAGGCGTTCGGTGCCATGGACGAACCCCACTCCGGGTCGACGGGCACAGGGGCCTCCCCAATCCTGTACGATGGCAGGTCATCATCCTGCCAGGTTGAGCCACTACCCAGTTCGATATCTTTTGGTTCCACAAAGACACTCGTATCAGAAATAGGTGAGGTACAAGTGCTTGGGTCCGTATAATCATTTGCTCTCGGGTCCAAATAGCCCTGGATTGTGGAGTCGAGCCGAGCGTCTTCATGAGGGGACGAGCCAGGTCCCGCACTGTGCCCAGGACTTCCCCGCGATGGCGTTAGTCGAATAGCACTGGCCCGAAAGAAGACTTCCTCCGGGTCGGATGCGGCTGATAGGTAAGGATCGGGAGCATATCGATCTTGGATTGCATCTGGCGATTGCCCCTGAGCGCTGGGTGGGGAGGCGTGTGACATGTTCAAATGGCGGTCAATTAGCTCAAAATTGACCGCGAGAACGAGAGGTATCAAATGAAGCCGATTCAGGAAGCATGGAGGGGTACAATACAAGCAGGTCGATTATATTGGGGTTTGCTTGGGTATCCAGGTGTCCTGACCCGGGATTGCCTCTATTATATGGTGAAGAGGACGATACACAAGGCAACTGGTCTTGGATCGATGAAATCCCCGAAATAGTCCAAGTTAAATATGAAAATCAGAAATTCCAGAGTCAAAGGTGAAGGGAAAAAAGAAAAGAAAAGGTGATGGGGGCCGAAGATCAGAGAGGGGGACAAGCTGAACAAGCGCCGGGCGCATCCCACTTATTTTATGCAAAGAATGTCATCACCAGAAGATCCCAGCAGAATCTCCCCCCAAAAGGATCTATCCCTTGTCAGCCTTGTTTGAATAAACAGGAAATCAAGTTCTTCTCACAGAGCCTTGCAAAACAGGGCGTGGCTGTGCAATGAGTTCTATCCACGGACTACCACGGACTACATATATCTACAATTGGTCCGCATGTGTTTTCTTATAGGCGCCCTAGCCACATTCCATTTCTATTCCTGTCTCTCTACTCAGCCTCATGTGGGGTCCATTACAGTATGATAGGGCTGAAATTGGATTTGTCTGTCACGTAGTACGTTTTAGAAGAGGTTCGAAATAAATCGTTGGTTCTCGGTTCTATCGAGTATCTACATGTTCTATATAAACTATACTCCGTACAATGTCCACAGACGAGGCACAACAAACCCCTCGTTACGCGCCCATATATTTAAAACCCATAGAACTCATGAAATTTACATTTGATAAACCTATCTAGTTACAATCTCAGAATCTTACATCGTTCCGAAAAAAAATAAAAGGCAATAATTCTCAATAGCTTCAAATTCTGACTAAGATTTGTGTCGAGTTTTGGACATTCCTTCGCCCGAAGAATCACTCAATCACAAGCGTAAGCCCGGGCAACAAATGAAAAACTGAACTGTTTCGATTCTCGAGGTTGCGGTTGTCTGTTGTCTTAGATCCCCTGCCCCGCAGTACCCTCTCAGCCTCAAGAATAAGAGCCCCACAGTTTTTATTCCAACCACAAGAGTTATGTCCTATGAAGGCATTTCGAAATGGTACATAGTATATCTTCTCGACGATCATGACATGTGGTCAGTTCAGAAGGAGTAGGCTACAGTCTGACGCAGTATTTTTGCGTTGATGTCCAAAGGTCTCGGACAACATCAAGCGGTCGGTGAAAGAGATGCAAGGCGTCAGAAGCTGTGTAGAATGATGTTGATTCTGGAAATAGCGTAGCTTGTGGCTTGTGTTCATATTGACCTGGAGAGACTAGGACTTATTAGGGCCGTGAGGATGATGGAACTGTGGGGACATCTATGCTACCTGCATACCTCGGCCCCTGGGTTGACACTTAATATAACCGTAATAACCTCCCCTTGAAATACAATAGCAACCACACTGTTTTATTTTTGGGACATATGATTCAAGGTCAAGACATGTGTAAACTATATGCCAAGACTGTCCAGATAAGATAGGCTTTCGAGAATAAGAGCCTAACCCCTATAAGGTTGTAGGATCCGGGGTCAGCACGAGAATAAGACGTAATTGGATGGTTGAAACTCTATGGAACGTCTTCTCGGATTCTTATCATGGATCAGATTGAATTGAATTCTCTTATCATGAGTAATTGACCTGACAGTCACAGAAATTGAGGGATGTCGGGGATTCCCCATGAACTGTGGGCGACCACTATAGATTCAGAGCTTCCCATTGATCCAATAAAAGCCTTGGCTGCTGTCATGAGATAGATAAGAGGCCGGAAGATCTTCGTTCTGGCTATCATGTATGAACTACATATAAATACCCATTCTGCTAGAGGATATATGTACTGTGGACCTGAACCAAGGAGCTTGGATTGCGATCCATTCTAGCTCTCATCATGGCCAATGCTGTAAGTCTTGTATGATTGAAATGGCATCTACAAACAGCTGACACAGTTATTTAATATAGCCAGTATACAATTCATCTATCCCAACAGGCGGAGATCCACTCAAGGTCAATGTTAATGCTCAATATGCAGGCGTCGAGTGGAACTATACCTACATCATCCTTTGCTCGTTTATTGTCTGGTTGATTATCCCCGGAATCGGTCTTCTCTACAGTGGCCTTGCTCGAAGAAAGTCAGCGCTGGCATTACTCTTCCAGGCGTTCATGGTTGTGGCTGTGTATGTCGATGCCTCCCTAGAAACCAAGCGCATGTCGTGCTGATATAAATGACCCCACCAGAGTAACTTTCCAATGGATATTCTGGGGTTACTCGTTGACCTATGCTCGGGATGCAAGTCCATTCATTGGAAGCCTTAAGAACTTCGGTCTCAGAGGTGTGATGGTAGCGCCATCCCCTGGCTCAGCTGATCTCCCAGAAATTGTATTCTGCTTCTATCAGCTTCTATTTTGCGCATGCACGGTAAGCAAAACCCGGAAACACATGTCACCAAGTAAAAGCTAATAGAATCTTGGGACAGGTCATGATCGTTGTCGGCGGAGCATTTGAACGAGGCAACATGATCCCCTCGCTTATCTTCAGCTTCTGCTGGGCGACCGTCGTTTACTGTCCCCTCGCCTGTTGGACTTGGAACAGCAACGGGTGGTTGTATAATCTCCCATCACTTGATTTTGCCGGAGGCGGCCCGGTTCACATCGCATCTGGCTGGTCGGCATTGGCCTATGCCTTTGTTCTGGGGAAGCGCAAGCATATCGACCAGCCTTCACATGTGAAGCCTCACAACACCACCTTGGTCTTTTTGGGGACGACCTTGATCTGGTTTGGGTGGTTTGGGTTTAACGTATGTCATGTCTATGCCTTGCTTTTTTTTTTTATTTTTTTTTCCCAACTCAATCTGACGGTTATTTTCTAGGGCGGCTCCGCTCTTAATGCTAGCGTACGGGCAATGTTAGCGGCATTTAATACCAACACTGCAGCTTGCACAGGAGTACTAGGATGGGTGTTGGTTGATTATGTCAAACACCACGGGAAATTCACGGTAGTAGGAGCATGTGAAGGCGCAATTGCAGGGTTAGTTGGCATCACGCCAGCCGCCGGCTTTGTGTCCGTGTGGCTTGCTGCCCTTATCGGCCTCCTCACGAGCATTGTCTGTGCCCTCCTTCAAGATATCAATGAGTGGTTACACATAGACGAGGGGATGGATGTATTTAAGCTGCATGGTATTGGCGGGATGGTGGGGGCATTCCTTACCGGGATCTTTGCGTCGCAGTCTATCGCCGCGTTGGATGGCGTGACTGAAGCCAGAGGGGGTATTGACGGTAATGGAGTGCAAGTTGGAAAACAATTGGCTGAGGTGTGTGCTATTTCGGCATATTCTTTCATTGTCTCGTGTATCCTACTTTACATTCTCAAGTTCATTCCGGGGATGCAGTTGCGGGTGCATGAGGAGGCGGAAATGATTGGCTTAGACCGCGCGCAGTTTATCGATGAGCAGATTGGTGAGCGGGCGCTCCTTAATGATTTATGCGGGTCTTCATTACCGAGTGTGCTTGATGGGGAAGTTCCTGTAGTGGTTGGTTCTCAGGAAACAAAGAAGTGACAGGCTACGTCTCGTGACTTCAGAATCATAGAACATGTACGGAGTACGGAGTGACCTGTCTTGGGTCTATTCACTCCAATTGTTTTTCTAATCTTATTTCTATGCCATTTTGACAATTTCCTTCCATGCATATATATTTTAGTAATGAGATGTCGAAGAATTACAATTTTGTGAACCTAAGCAAAGTAAGGTGATAGCTATATGCCGGTAGTCCAATATTGTTCCGGAGGCATTTAGATCTATAGAAATTCAAAAGTCGTGTCCACAAATTAAGCCTGGAAAATATCTTAATCCAAAATACAATTCAAAGTCTTGGCCAAGACATTTTAGAGTGACGCAACGAATCTCCGGCTCCCAAGGCCGAGCTGACGTATGCTCTCCCCCTCAGCAGTTTAGGGTCACATTCCATGACGAGGCTGGAATATATAGATATATAGTGGTAATGAAGTTGGGATAGTCTCAGTCCCTGTCGAGATTCAAACGTTATGCCGTGGGACATGTATGCACATAATTGTAGTACATCGTTATATGTGTTCAAGGGATATTCAATGTTACTCGATATTATATATAAGGAAAAAAAAAAGAATTTGGTTACGAACAGTTATATTACCCTTAAATTACCCCACCTTTCCTAATGCAGACCAATCGGCATCCACTTTACCGTTGAGATGTCACAGTCTGGCCTGTCATGTTTCGTATTGCCCCCGGAGTCGTCGCGTCCAGGCCGCTTTTGGCCTCCTTATCTCTCGGGCTTTCTCTCTCTCTTCTCTCTCAAGTCTTCTTTACTTGTCATTCGTTTACCCTATTATTGCAATTTTCAAAGACAAATATTGTCCTCTTGACAAGTTTGTCATGATCTGCGAATAATCACAAGTCCAAATGGGCAAATGTATGCTGTCCCACCTCAACTTTCATGATGCGAATTAACCTTTCTATTAGGGCGTTATGGAGTCGTCCTGGACGCAGGCTCGTCTGTACGTCGACATTGTTCTAAAATCTTGGAGTCACGCCACTAATCAGCCGCATAGGGGACTCGCGTACACGTTTACCGATGGCTACGAAATGCCGCTGCACGAAAGAACGCTCATGTGGAGGAGTTGAAATCGCTACCGGAAATCAAAACCAAGGAGGCATGGACGAAGAAGATTCACCCTGGTGAGCCCTCGAGCCAAGATCAAGTCACCAACAACCTGCCACTAACCCATACGCGCAACAGGGGTCTCTTCATTCGCCAATAATCCCGAATTAGTTGGATCAGACCATCTCGCTCAACTGTTAGACCACGCCAAGGGAATCATTCCTGCCGAGGATGCCAAGGACACTCCCATCTTTCTTCTGGCCACTGCGGGCATGCGACTGCTGGGAAAC